TGGCAGTTAGGGGCCTGATAGGTCTCAGGTCAGGCTTGTGATATCTCTGGAATATTGTTCATTCAACTTCTCATCTACTTCCTTCCATTCAGTCCCACATGCAGAGGCCCCATCTAGACTCAAGTTTAAGCCTGAGGACTCTTGTCTTACTTACTGGTCTCCATGTGCTTGCCCTCTTCCTGTCTCCAACTCAAGTAGCTACCTTGAGGCCACTTGAACTGCCAGGCACAGTGGGAAGGTAGTACCTGACCTTGGCAACTTGTCCAACAATTATTTATGGAATGGCCTTCCACAAAGAAGACAGGCCCACTGTATGCTACAGAGAGGCAGTAGGTGGACAGCAAGAAGGAACAGTGAGGTAGAGGATCCAGTGTCCTGAGGGAGGTGGAATCTGCTGGGTTGCATGTGGGGAGCAGGGGGCTTAGCATCACTTTCCTTCCTTTCAGTGAGCCTTGGGGCGCCTTTTTTTTTTTTTTTTTTGAGTCAAGATCTCATTCTGTTGCCTAGGCTGGAGTACAGTGGCACAGTCACTGTAGCCTCAACCTCCTGGGCTCGGACGATCCTTTGCCTCAGCCTTCCAAGTAGCTGGGATTATAGGCGTGTGCCACCATGCCTGGCTAATTTTCTGATTTTTTGTAGAGATGAGGTCTTACTATGGTGCCTAGACTGGTCTCAAACTCCTGGGCCCAAGCAATCCTCTTGCCTTGGACTCCCAAAGTGCTGGGATTGCAGGCATGAGCCACTGTGCCCAGACATGGCTCTGTCATTTTTTAATCTGCATTTCCTTGAAATCATCTTCCCATCACCTCACTGCATCCGCTTGTTTCTAGATGTCACCATGATTGAAAAACACGCAGACATCACTCAGATATTGGAACTCTATGCCCAGCACCCAAGCCCATGCACTCTGCTCTTTGACACTATCCTGCTCCTTCCTGTAGGAATATGTTTTTCCCCTCATACCTGATAACCATGGTCTACTAAGCGTTAGCTTCTCCAGGAAGTCTTTCCTACATTCCTCCCTTTTCTACTTTTTATCTGGAGATGGAGGAGAGGGAAGGTGAGATTACTATCACAGCCACATGTGTTGCCTTCAGAAACCGAGGGTATCTGAACTCTATGTTCCCATGTGGGTGGTAAAGACAGGACTCTATGAATGAGATTTTTTGTTTGGAGGGTTGACTTTAGCTAGGAGTCTGACCATTTGGGTGGTGTTTCCTTCATTCTGATGGTTTGAAGAAAGGTTTTTGGATTCTGGCAAGTTTTGGAACAGACATGGAGACCAAACTGCCCTCAATATGCAGCAAACAGGCATTTTGAATGCAATGCAGACCTTTCTCACTGCTGGAGAACTAGACACCATCATGGATGCTTCTGTGTGGCAGGGAGTCTTGCCACCTTGGTGAAAACACCTGGGTAAGTATGTGGTCTGGATAGCATGAACTCCCTCATACTGCCATCTCCCCCTTAGTGCAGGGCCCCAGGTGAGTTGTCAGTTCTTGAGCCTGGTGCTGTGCCCTGCCAGTAGAGCAGAAAACCTGACCCACAGCCTCCAAACCAAATCCCCTAGCTCCTTCCAAAGGGCTGGTCTCCCAAGGGGGTGGAGTGAAGTAGGGGAATTTGGGAAATAAGTGACATGAAATGCAATTCTCCACAGTTGACAGATGTTTGAAATACACCATGACCACTACTGTGTCAGGTTCTGCACCAGATGGTTAGGATACAGAGGTGAGCAGGGGCTAATCCCAATCTGCAAGTAGGCCCTACAGTGTTGAGGGGAAATCAACAGTCCCCATCCCAGGATACCCAGCCTACAAGGCTTAGGGACACAGGCCCTGTAGCTCCTTGCCAAGTTCTGACCACTCTATTTCCTTCTCTGCTTTTTTTTTCTTTTTTTGAGGTGGAGTCTTACTCTGTCACCCAGGCTGGAGGGCAGTGGCATGATCAATGGCCACTGCAGCCTCGACCTGCTGGGCTTAGGCGATCCTTCTGCCTCAGCCTTCCAAGTAGCTGGAACTGCAGGTGTGTGCTACTATGCCCAGCTTGTTTTTTGATTTATTGTAGAGACGAGGTCGCATCAAGTTGCCCAGGCTGGTCTGGAACCCCCGGGCTCAGGCAATCCTCTCATCTTGGCCTCCTAAGGTGCTGGGATTACAGGCTGAGCCACTGCACCCAGTCCTGCTCTTCTTTCTTCAGAGTATTCACCATCACTGAACATTTACTGTCTCCCCCTACACCAGAATGTATGCTCCCTGAAGGAAGAGATTGTCTATCTCACTCATGACTTTATCCCCAGTATTTAGAATCATACCCCAAATAGATACTCATTATGTTAATTAAATACATGTATCAACTTTACTGGCACTTCTTTAAAGGGAGATAAAGTGGTATTTGGAAAAGATTTCACATATAGTCTCCACAATGCCAGATCATATAGGTTATCACACATATATCTCCCTGTAATATAAGAAATATTATGCCCTCTTCTTACAAATGAGAAAACAGTCCAGCAAGATGAAACCAGGATTATTAACAGGCTGTCCCTTTCCAAAGATTCCATGTTCTGCTATCCTTGCTGCCCTGATAAAAATGGCAAAGGGAGAGTTAACTCTGTTGTATGACTGTTGTGTTCCGAGAAACATATTAATTCCTCTTCATATTTCATTATATTGAATCTTCAAATAGCCCTTCAAGGATTGGTATTTTTATCCCCATTTTGTAGGCAAGCAAACTCACACATGAAGAGGTTACTTTGCACACACTAATCTAGCTTACAGGGGAGTTTGACACACATACAGGTCTATCTAATTGAAGATCCTACTCTTTACAGCACCCTGTGTGAAGCCCTTCCTATCACATAGCCCTTGCTCCATGAATCAGAGAACCTGTGGGGATTCTGCCAGGTGCTGCTATGTCTATTCCATCTATGTATTCTGGATCTGGGTTAATAACCATTGGCTACATTCAGGGACCCTGTGACCCTACCGTGAAATGGCCAAGCTAAAATTTTATTACGATGGCTCCATAAGCTCCTACGCTGGTAAACAACAGTAATATTTTGGGTCCCAGGTTTTAATATCAATTAGAGCCAGAGTCCAATAATCCCTGTCTTAGCCCCATCGGCTTCAGACCATAAGGAACAAACCTTTACTTCAACAAAATCTGGCTTATTGACCCATTACAATGAGGGCAACAACACACCAGAACCGTAGGGGTTTCTCTCTAGACAAACAGTTATCATAGGACTTTGGGCAAGAGTGGAATTCAGGTGAAATTTAGATGGTGCTTCAATGGGCATGCAGCAAAGCAAAGGTGTGAATAGTGTGGGTCAACAGCAGGTTTGGACTGCAAAGTAGACCCAGGCTCCTGTTGTCTTGGAGTCCAAAAATTAAGATAGATGTAGAGCATGGTGTCCAAAAACTCCTTATCTGAATTGTAAATCAAGGCTACTTATCTGTGTCAACGTGACTTAGATCTGCCAGGGAAGAGTGGGGTATTCCATTCATATTGATATAATTTCTAACACATTTATCTTAGTCTATAAGAGAACAAAATTTCTCTGGGAGTAAGAATGTTACATTTTACAGCTGCGTTAATCTCTTGGGAAAACAGTTTCCTATTAACCCCGCAACTGGTTTTATCTGTGTTTGTTATTTCAGTCTCTTTTGAGTTGGAGTCTCACTCTGTTGCCCAGACGGGAGTGCGGCCACCGCAGCCTCGACCTGCTGGGCTCTGGCGATCCTTCCGCCTCAGCCTTCCAAGAAGCTGGAACTACAGGCGTGCACTACCACGCCCGGCTAGTTTTTGATTTATTGTAGAGATGAGGTCTCGCCAAGTTGCCCAGGCAGATCTCGAACCCGCGGGCTCAGGTAATCCACA